CGGGTGTCACGCCACAGCGGTCTATAGTTCGTTCCGTAGTTCACCAACTCCGAGTTTAACGATAAGAGGGTAACAGAGCTAGTCAGCGGTGGAGAATGAGCAACAACGTTGGCGACCGTTTACCACGCTACTTCGCCACGATTTAATCGACGCGAGATTCCGTCATATCCACATGTCCCTTTCGATCTTTCATCGATTCACCTTCGAACGTTCTCATCGATCGACGTTGGATGGATTTACTCGATCTCCCATGGATTTTTCCCTTAGCGTTCCAATTTTTGGTCATCTCTTTCGTTAGCCAATCCGCGGGGATCGATGCGCGCGAAAGCAGACCATTCCAGGAGAAATATCGCTCTCGAGGTTGCGTCGCGTCGCTGGACCGGCGAATATTTCGCGCACGATTCGTATTGGTCGGCTTTTCTGATAGCGTTGTACCAGAAACCGCATCGTAACGCGGAACGCGTGATACTTGGACGTTAATGTCGCCCTCACTATAGATAGTCGGTGAACACGTCATTCTTTTTGAAGAAACTAAAGAAACTATGAACTACCATCGTCTCTCCGATATCGATTCTCCCGGTTGCAGGGAGTACTACCATTTCGTTCCATGCTTTTCCCTCTTTTTCGTTAATACGACGCTACCAACTTTTAATCGCCGTCCGGCGAACGGACGTGGACTTCGATACACGTTGTTCGCACGCGTCGATCGAATCGTATTAAACCACAAGATTCTTTGTCAAAATTCAGCTAATCGTGAATTAACAATGGCCAAAGTTTAGTCGAATGGTTGAAGACAAAAATGAAAAGTATTATATTCGGAAAAGTCTTAGAAGAACGATAACTCAGACTTGCAGTTCGGTTGCGCTCGTTTCTACTACGAAAACGTCGCAATGCGCGAGATTAAACCGCAGGAATAAAACGTTGTTCTTTTCTCTTGGTTAAAATAATGTTCATCCATGAAGTCAAACATTGAAATTTGCCAAAACTTCTATCGAAAAACCTCCGAAAAATTAAGAACCTCAGAAAAGTTAAGAACCTCAGAAGAATTAAGAACGTCAGAAGACTTGAGAAAAAGAAAGAAAGGATTTGTTAGAACAGCGTTGCCATTCTACGTCCATTTCCTAGTCGCACTTGGTAATCAAGTGTCAGAAAACAGCTTTGTCATTGCCGCCAGTTTTCTTCGTTTTCCGGCTTCCTTTTTCAAACCGTTCGTCCCTTTCATACCCTTCCATATCTCCCGGTCCATTCTATCGGCATCACCGATGCTGTAAGTCTGCAGCCATAATTTTGGCGGTTTATTGTGCTTCGAGTTTTTCATATACGAGAGGAAACCATTACTCCTGACAGGGAATTGCACGGCGTAGTCGCGCCTGGAAACGGACGACCAACTTGCTCGTCCGCATGGATGGCTGCCCCACGCAACGCGCTCTGCCAACAATCATTTGCCCTGGCAAATTAGATGTATCCACCCTCTCTTCCCTTCTCCGTTTATTTTACCGTTTTACTACGTTTCTCACCTGACGGTGTAACAAATACTTTTCGAATCGGTTTTATTGGTATTCGAGAGCTTGCAGTCGGGCTTTGCTTCCGAACATTAATACGTTCGAGTCAACGTGAGAACGTATAGTCGTTCGTTTCGTTTTAGCGATTTTTCCGATCAGAATTAGTTTTTCGAATTAGGCACACTGCATGTCAGCCATTTCGTTTTACGAACGTTCAAGCGAGGGTGTCTTGAGACATTACATAAGGCAAGTCACCCCTGTATCTCGATCGTTTCGATACTTTTGCACGCACATTTTTCATTCGGATGCCTTTCAAGCTTATACGCTGCTGCTTTCCGGTGAACATTCGCGTTTGATCTTAGTCCTCACGTTTTATAATCGGAACGTTTATTTAAAGAAGGCTCGTTCGGTACCAGAGATCGCACAATTAACGGGGGACAATTATAACGAAGTTTGATAAGAATCGAAACTAATTGCAAATTAAGAACTTGTAAAGCTAATTTTTTTAGCCAAGACTCGCAGTTGAAATTGATTCTTCTGTTTACCAATCTCCTAAACGCTCCTTTCGATGAAGTAACGTCGATACGTAATTGCGAGCGCATTAAACGACACCCTCGGTAATCCGTTCCAAATCCATTACGAGCCGTGTTCAGGGACGTTTCCTTGACCTTGAATAGTAGGATTTATCGAGTAGTTAACGCAGTCTGAATTCTCTTCTCAACATCGCTTCTCAAAGAACATCCTGTAGATTCCCGAGTGGACGTATCGAAGATCGAAGGGTTTCGGAGGGATGTCGCCATCGCGTTCGCGTGCGCGAATAGTCTCGAGACGATACTCCAAAGTCTTGGAAGGTCACGACATCGAGACTGACGAACCAGGACGACGACTAGTTGCGGATAGTTTGAAACGGGACAGGGTCGAACTCCTTGGACACTCGAACAATCTCGTTGAATCGATCGACGCGTGTCCTCGACTAATTTCACAAACGACCAGCCTCCTTTCTTCTTATTCTTTCGGTTACGTCCTTGATATCTAGCTTCTAATGATTGGATAACATTTATCTGCTTAACACCCTATTCTTCTACGTTTATGTACGATTATATGACGTCCATGTACATTTATATTAGTAATTAAGAGAAAGGTTCAAGTGCTGCTTGCGGGTTGGTTCAAAGGTTGAACCTTGCCGTACAATTTATTTGCCAGATGAGGCAAAACTATTCATTAATGAGGCAATCAAAACTATTTATTAATACGATGTTATATAGTATTGAAGGAAATAAAGAAAATTAAAATGTTGTTAGTATTTTATGTTTAGCAATGTTTAGGTTCAATTATAATATGCATATAATGTATGACTATGTGTATATTATAGTTGGACCTAAATACACAAATAATGAAAATTAAAATGTTGTGAGTATTTTATGTTTAGCCATGTGTATTCATGTCCAACTTAGTATGCATATAATGAATGACTATATGTATATTATAGTTGGACCTAAATACACAAATAATTAAAATTAAAATGTTGTGAGTATTTTATGTTTAGCCATGTGTATTTATGTCCAACTTAGTATACATATAATGTATGACTATATATTATAGTTGGACCTAAATTTGAAGTTGAAGAGTATTGCAAATTTCAACAGGGTTTGTCATGTTTGAACTGTTAGCGCGTCACGACTGAGACTCCTCAAAGTATGGCAAGGTAATGTTGAGGTTGATACATCCTCATTAAATAAATGATTAGAAACGTTAGGAACTAGGATCCTTTACACCTAGGATCCTCAACGTCCGACGCCGGGTAGTGAAAGCTTCAAGTCTCTCATAAGATGTACAGCATGTCATATATTACTAATGTCCATATCACATACATTACAACCCCCATAATTAAAAATTGTTGAAACCTGTGAGTGATAGAAACGCTAGATAAGATGTTGAAGTAAGATTTAATTCTGAAAGGCGTGGTTACGCACAGACCTCCGATGTCGCGTATTTCGCGAGCACCGAGATTTAGCAGCAGTTCCGTTCCACGAGACCCGCACGGGTAACTCGTGTAGCAGCGAAAGACGATTGCACAGAAGACATAAAAGGGAGAATACTCCGTTGTTCTCTCCGTGACCCGCTATCCGACAAAAGGTCGATGCTAAGATCGGGAGACTAAAGGAAGAAGAAGAAACAGAAGAAGCAAGGGAATAGAAGACGGTGTGACGGGACGCGATGGCGCGATAGGCAAGGGGCAAAGGGTAAGGGGACGGGAAATTGGGATGAGGGAGAATAGGGTGGGAATATCGGAGCAATGAGCAGAGAGGCTGACGGGATGTTCGGAGAGTGGGATAGAACGGTTCGAGATGCGTTGGAGTGGGACACAGGGTCGAACTCATGGACGAACGAGCCGACGGATAGGACGGCTGGCGCCTCTAGTCAGATCGATGCACGTGGCTCCAGCGGGGCGCCGCTCTTCGTACATCTCCTGCTACACCCCCTCTCTTATTCTCTCTTGACTTTCTTCGTCCTGCCATGCTCCGCTTTACGAGAGAATTCTACGCTACATATACTTTTTCTTCTACCTGTTTCTTCT